GATCCGAGTGATTTTAGATCATTAATCCTGTTCAGGATCTTTTCAAAGAGATGCAGCCTGAATTATTAGTTATCCGATATTTATCAAGCACTGTTCGAAAACACCATCAATGAAATATATATGGGTGAATTAGCTTATTGAATTTGTCATTAAAATCGATGCCAAGTCCATTTACCCCCTTGAAAACCTAGTCGTTCTCACTCCAAATGTAACTAAGTTTCCGTCATGTGACAAGCAGAGAGCATTCGACTACAAAATCAAACCATTATCGTTGAATTTGGAATGTAAATTATCGTTGCAGACCGGGCGATAAATGCCACTTTCCACAGCATGAAACATAATCATTATCAGCCATGTGTGTCGTCAGTTCAAGCTTACATGTATGTCATTCTACATATGCCTTACCTTGCCACTCTGTGTTTGACATGTAATTTCACCACCGTACAACATAAGAGGCTTTTGAGCGTAAGGCAACTTAGTGGAGCCAGCCAATATGCACTGAGGACCTAAGAAAATGAACGGAACCAAATCATTGGCAACGCATCGGAGATAAGCAAAAGCTGTTCAACTGTAAGCAACATCTAATAAATCAATCACTCCGAATAACACAGGCAGGGGGAACAGAATCGATCTATTTCGGCCTACATTCTGTCTCCAAGACATAACTTCTTGCAATGCAAACTATGAGAATTGCCCAAAGAACAGCAAACGCATTTCCAAAGACAGAATCCAGTATAGAAATACACAGTCAACAAACGCCATCTTTTAGAGGATTAGTCTTATGAGCAATGTCAAGCCTGATGCATGTTTAAGGGATCTTGAGAGGTCGGCAACGGAATTCTTCCTAGTTTTCTTGATACGTTTCTTATGGCACAAGTTGGAGGAATTTCTTACATTTTAAAAACGTTCTTCTTCAATTTAGTTCGTAATCGCTTCCAAGGGTCAAATACACGAGTAGCGTGCTACGATCAATCAGTCAGTCAGTCAGTCAGTCAGTCAGTCAGTCAGTCAGTCAGTCAATCAATCAATCAAAAACTTTCTTAGTGTGCCTAATCCTACTGGTACTAATTGGAAACACAAATGAATTCTAAACAAAAACAGAACATGTCTGATTAAATTTCTTATCATGCACGCTCTGCAACAGATAAAAATAGTATACTCACATGTACATGGTTTCTAAAAAAGGCATACTTGTTACGATCAAAATGAAGGCAAAGGAATAACAAAAACAACGCACCAATAACTGTATCTCTGTAGAAGATGTAAGTATACACCTTGTCTTCATCATAACCACAAAACACGTCCTGAAGGGAAAGTACAGTGCAAAATAATCATGTCATTGATCAACATGGCTTTGTAAAGAACCTTTTCTACCGAATCGCGATGATGGAGTAATACGTGTATGTTATTTGGCTGCTTTCCGAAGAAATAGTTATTACTGTTGCTACGGTTCAAACCCTCATGACATGTAGTTGGCATCGATCTCATGCATTTCATTAGCCTCTTCCAGGCATTTAGTTGATTGGGGCACAGCGGGAAAACACGGCGGAGCGAACTAAACCCGGGAAAGAGGCTTGGTCGCGCTGCGTCCCAACCAACTGAACACCTGGAAGAGCATTTCATTTATATTAGGCAACCACAGTCTAGCACGTTTGAAGTTCGATTCCTCACCGATGGATGTTATTTACCATTCCAATTCCTCCGACATACGTACAAACTGAACATCATGCTCAGTCATTCCATTCCGCCTGCATACATTATAGTGTTTGATTCCTTAACTACATGTGTGTAGCAAGAAGGCAAAAACGACACTTAATGCTCGCGTCATAGCCTCGAGATGACATTATACAGAGCCTTGAAACTCTCCCTTTAAAAGCACGATGTGTATCCATAGCATGGAATGGCACCTCCGTGGCTGGGCAGTAACTCTCCAGGAAAGATATACTAGTTTCGTGATTGTATCAACGACAGTTGAAGCATTCGTAACGTACCTTATCTAAAGGCCAGTTATCCCACACAATACCCTTGATATTAGGAGAAAAGTTGGGAATCTCAAAGGTAGCATCGTTGACCTACAGAAAAAAACAAATGAATCACTGAGTCTTCTATAGCGATTAAAAAACAAAACACCCAAATAGATTGGTGCCCTGGGGACTGGGACTACGTAAAGAGCAAGACGTTCCGTTCTGTTATATTTGGTTTTAGTATAGATCTACTAGCGTTCTATAACGAATGCCGTTCTCTGATTGGCTACGCTACTCACCATCTATTCTGTGAAAGATAGTGAGTAGCGTAACCGTGTGTCCTTGTTAACAAAATGACGGCCGCTTCTTGGCGATTTCGAAGTGTCTGTGATGAGGATTTCGATAAAGTTTTGAACGACTAGTAGATTTATACTAAAACAATTAGATTATTCGCTCTCGCTTTCTATGCGTGAGAATTGGCTCGGGCTGCGCCCTCGTCAACTATCACGCGATAGAAATCTCGAGCTCATAATCTAATTGTTTATTGGTGTCCTTCCAAAAACTCCCATCAGCGCTTGCGCGAACACTTAGGCTCCAGGCCACCAATCTTTTTCAAAGTAAGTCGCTCGCTATACAGACACTACTGTGTCAACAAAGCGTCTAGCAAAACACTCACAGGATTGTAAACAAATCCATCACTCTTTTCGTCGATAAACACAAGGTGAGTCCCACTGATATCTGGAAAGATCTTTTTGATACCTTTAAATAAAAATACTGACATTATTATTATGTTCCTAACTAACTCAAATACAAATGGCGATCTTACGTTTGCTTGTTTGTTTGATAGTTAGTTGCAGTAAGTCGAATGTCTGTCCCTTCTCCTGTTTTCCTATCTTTTTTTGACCCACAGTCATGAACCCTGTTGGTCATAAGTCCAAACAAGCGTTTCCATAGAATACCGCTAAAATGTATATTCTTATAAAGTCCAAAGTTGCAGCCAGAAGCTTATAATGCTACATGCTTCTGGAATTATCTGTTTTTCAATCGCAGGAAGAGGGTAAGTATTCTAGATTTGTACAGTTGGACCCCAGTAATTCGAACTCGGTTATTTCGAATTCCCCGTTATTTCGAACTCAAAACCATTTCCTTTGGATTTGCCCTTCAGTCAGTTACTATCGGTTATTGCGAACTCCCGCTATTTCGAACTATTTTCTGTTTCCCCTTAGAGTTCGAAATTGGGAGGTTCAACTGTAATTTAAAAACGTAATGATTTTCTTCCCCGGTGCCCCGATCCATGCACTCACCTACTACATGTCTGAATTCATTCACAAAGTGCCAGTCTTCGAGGAAGAAATAGAACAGATTTCCATTCTACAAAAAGTTCCAACAAATGCATGTTTCCATAATCAGTACATAGCACACCCTTCATGCTTACCTTGCTGAATCTCATTCAGGAAAACAAATTAATTATAACCTCTTAATTTCTGAATTTTAGTATAACATCCGTCGAATTTTACCAGATACTTCTTTTGGAGGGGACTTTTGGTATCCTCGTGCAAACCTTGTAATATGAATTAACAAATTGACGTCAGTCTTTCATGCGTCCGTCCTGTTATTGATCATGAATTTCGTCACAACATTGTCCCAGTAGCTGTGGATCCACGAGGCGATAGCCCAGTGGATCCGCAGAAATTCATTGTCAATAACAGGACATTCATTGTCAATAACAGGACAGACCCACGAAAAACTGACGTCAGCTTGTTTTTTACGATGACAAATTGTCAAATTGTCCACTCTCGCTCGTTGACGCATCGCATAAATTATAAATTCATGTGTCTGTCCGCTTATTGAAAATGAAAATTAGCCAATGAGCGCGCGAGAATTTCTGGGTTGAGTTATCGTAAAAAATGAGTTTGATTCGCATGAAAATGAAACTGTGGCGGAACATATTTTTATATGAATAGTTTCGCACGAAGATTCTGTAATGGGCTGTCTTCACTGAGGAAGGGCTAGGCACGAAATGTTCCTGACTTTTCAGAGGATGACACTTTGACATTTTTCTTCCTTATCAGTTTTCAATTTTTTATTTTCTTCTGATTTTTTATATCCATTTAAGTGTCACGCATCAACCTTACCAGGGAGAATAATCTACTTCGTTTTGCTCATCCTAAACATTTATCATACAGAGGGAAAGTTTACACGTATTTACCAATCAATGAAAAAGTAATCATTTCATGTTACTCACATCAGTTCCATAAATTAAAAAGTCTGAAGTCAAAGCACAACATGTTATTCTTCCATGGTTGCCTTTATCTGGGAAAAGCCTGGTCTCTCTCTCATCTGTCGCGTCCAGTGCTTCACCTTCAATCTGTCACACAGAAAAACAAATTAATGTGATACGTACAATTATTCTCGCCAAAAATTGACTAGGCCAGCATTTGAATGTAAGTTTTCACAAAAGCTTTGCTTGCCATAATCTTAGGTTGGAATCAAGTTACTGCGCCTTTCAATAACATGCGGACTCTAAAATTCAAAGCTCAACCGACAAATGCGTTTTTCGC